ACTACGATTCCGAATGGAAGTCGATCGCGGGACGCAACCCAGAAAGTGTTGAGCGATTTCGAAAAACCTAATTCTTTTCTCTTCCCCACTTATGAACTCAAATACTTCTTCAGAGGTCTGAAAGATCTCCTTAGTGAAAAAGTCACGGATTCCACAATTTCGCTCCCCTTTTTGTTAACAGGTCATTCAGAAAAAATCCCGACATGGTTAAATATGATTTCAGCGATTGATGGTCTTTTATTGAATGCTATCTACAAAAATTAGAAAAACCCCTTGATTTTTATTGAATTTTATAGAAATGAATTCGGCTCGGTAGGAACCCGGACAAACTTAGAAAAATGACAAGCTGAAGGGCAACTTAATATATCCAGTTAATTACGAGGTATTTGGAACTTCAGGTACTCAGGTATGATTACTCGAGGTGGTCTCAGCACTGGGAAAAAGGCACTTACAGTAAACCATGTCTGGAAGAAGACCCTTCATGACGGCTTTGTAAGTATATCGGGTAATACCGTCAAAGTTCCATGACTTTCTTGTGGCTGTTACATTGTATGGCATCCGAGAAGGAAAATTCCCATAGAAAACATTTGAATCCTCTGAAATAACCAATACATGAAAAATTTGATGGAAATAGGTACTGACAGCAGCAAATGCCATAACTAAAATGAATTTTGAAGAAAATTTGTAAGTTTATGGACATGCTTCAATACTGGAATCGCTATAACGCTGTTCACTGCAAGAATGAGCTTTAACTAGACTCGGAACTATTCAATCGTCACCAGGGCTACCCACTATGGGCACAATACATTGACCAGATCCCACCAAAAGTGAGTACTTGTACTCTGTTACTAATCCCGTGTGTAGCGTTATCCCTATCTGTTCCGGGTGTGTGTCAAGTCGTGCGTTCGATGGCGCGCGCGGCAAATTGCGCGGCGAAGTTCGTGGCGAATTTGGACGAGTGCGGCGTTTATCAATGGGGTCCATATCTGAAGTAGAGTATATTAGTAAGGTCAGCTGATCCTACTATT